AATCATAGCTTTCCCTTAATTTTTGAAGGCAATAAATGACAAAGAGCAGACAAGAAGCCACTTGCATACTTGATTGAGATTCAGGCACAGTTAAAACTCCAAAAAAATACACCCAGACTAACCACAGGAATGTGACATATGGAGGTTGTGAGTTGGATTGATATCTTTGAACCAATCAAATGCTTTTGGTTAGAGGACAATCATAGAACCTTATTTTCTGGATAATCTGGAAGTATTTCCTTTCAAGGACTTCAAATTAAGGAAAGTTAGTGACACTACAAGTTGTAAAAAAAAATTGTTATATTCTTAAATTTGTAACAATGTCAACTTCTTGAGCATATGAATCTATCTTCAACCTTACTGACAGTGGCAAGAGGCATCATTGTGTGAACCCAATGGAAAATTCCATTCCTCATTCCACTCTGCCAAGGTTGGGAGGAATGGAAAAAGAGCAAGACAAATATACAATGGAAACTGGATACATACTATTTTGACTTTCATAGAATCCCTACAGTGTGGAAACAGGCCCTTCGGCCCAACAAGTCCACATCAACCCTCAGAGTATCCCACCCAGACCCAGCCCCCTATAACCCATTTAATCTACACATCCCTGAGCACTACGGGCAATTTAGCATGGCCAATCCACCTAGCCTGCCATCTTTGGACTGTGTGAGGAAACCGGAGAAAACAAAAACAAGTTACTGGAAAAGCTCAGCAGGTCTGGCAGTATCTGTGGAGAGAAATCAGAGTTAACATTTCGGGTCTAGTGACCCTTCCTCAGAACTGAGGAAGTTCTAAGGATCACCGGACCTGAAATGTTAACCGATTTCTCTTCACAGATGCTGCCAGACCACCTGCCGAGCTTTTCCAGCAACTTGTTTTTGTTTCTGATTTACAGCATCCACAGATCTTTCAGTTTTTATACAGTAAAGGCAGCATTCATTGCCTGTTTTGGTCAATGCATTGAGTATAGGACTTGAGAGGTCACGTTGCAGCCGTACAGGACATTGGTTAGGCCACTACTGGAATACTGCATTCAATTCTGGTCTCCCTGCTATTGGGAGGATGTTGAAAGGGTTCAGCAAAGTTTTAGAAGGATGTTGACAGGGTTGGAGGGCTTGAGCTACAAGGAGAGGCCAAACAGACTGGGGCTATATTCCCTCGAGGGTCAGAGGTCTGAGGGGTGACCTCATTGAGGTTTATAAAATCATGAGGGGCATGGATAGGGTAAATAGACAAGGTCTTTTCCCCAGGGTAGGGGAGTTCAAATTAGAGGGCATAGGTTTAAGGTGAGAGGGGAAAAATTTTAAAGGAACCAAAGAAGAAACTTTTTCACGCAGACGGTTGTGCATGTCTGGAATGAGCTGCCAAGAGGGAGTTGTAGAGGCTGGCACAATTACAACATTTAAAAAGCATCTGGATGGGTATGTGAATAGGAAGGGTTTAGAGGTATATGGGCCAAATGCTGGCAAATGGGACTAGATTAATTTAGAATATCTGGTCGGCTTGGACCGAAGTGGGTGTTTCCATGCTTATATCTCTATGACTATATGTCCCCATCAAACACAAGAATGGTCCTGCCAAGTCTAGACCCCCATGGTTGACATTATTACAGGGCAAGATTGAACAACAGTGCTTACGATAGTCACAAAAAAGAACTCAACATGCAAATAGCCTAGAGGAGTACAGAAAGTACAGGATCAAGTTTAAAAAAAAAAGGAAATTAAGGAGAGGGCACGAAAAAAAAAGTATTAGCAAGCAAGCTGTTGAGCTGCTGCAATAAGTGTCGCTGCTTCTGAACCAGGCAATTGGGCTTCGAGTCCTGCCTGTACCAGAGATGTGTTAAAGCATGCAATCAGAAGCTTCTCCTGAGAAGGGACAATGTACTTGATTATATAGGGGTCCTCTTGTGGTGAACGGTAGTGTCCCAACCCTGGACTGGGTTCATGTCCCACCTGCTCCAGAGGTGTGTAATAACATCTCCGATCAGGCCGATTATAAAAATAGGTTAAAAGAAAACCCAAATATAAATTTACCTGGATATACTGAGCAAGAGGACAGTTAAGGAAAAAGTGGGTCCTACAGATGAAGGAAACTTGTATGAAGATGCAGAGGATATGGGAAGAATCTTAGATGAATTTTTTGTCTCTGTATTCAAAGGGATGATGTGGACGTAGTAATCCAAGAGGAGCAGTGTGAAATATTGGACAAAATAATCATAACGAGAGGGGAAGTGTTGGGGGAGTTTGAATCCTTGAAAGTGGATAAGTTACATCACCTTAAGAGCTTTAAGGTGCAGGACTATGGGCCATGTGCAGCAAGATGGGATTAGAAAGGGCATCTGGGCATCTCTGGGTCAGCATGGACCCCCTTCTGTGCTGTATCATTTCTACAGTCGTATTCTACAAAGCCCTCAAGTGCTGCTCCATTGCTGCCTGGAACATAGAGCAACGCACAAGGATTGAGCTAAGGCTTGGATTCCAGCCAAGTACACCTATACACTAATTGTGTATACAACATGTGCTACTGGATATTTTCCTGCTTCAGATCAACCTACTCTGGCTGAAGGGCCTTGCAAGCACACAGTGATGTGATACGAGGAGTAAAAGTCAGATTTTGTTTTTTCCCTATACATGTAAATAAAGGCCACTGATCAAATTGCTGTTGTACGCCATACTAGAGTTAAATAAAAGGTTAGAAATTCATTCAGTGCTGCAAAGTTAACAGGTTTAATCGGGATACAATCTAAAACAGACGGATTATGAAATATTTGACTTCTTAAGCAAGCAGCTACAGCAAATCAAGTAGCTGTCATAAGATGACTAAAACTGTCAGATAGTAATGATACAGAAATGGGAGAGATAACAACCTCTAAACCAATAGGATGAAAATCAGCAACTGCCAATGTCAGATGGGACTGAAGAGCAAACAGAAACATTCTGACAGCCTAATTAAACTCATTGGATCTGCTCAAGAAATACCAAGCCTACAGATCCCTGATTTTACTTCCTCAGCAGCTCCAACATTCAACTAGAGGCAAAGGACTTCACTGTAAACACAGTATCTTCCAATGCACTCTTCCTAGAGTCATCATCAATGGTGACTGAAAGATAACAAAATTCATCCAGGTTTATCAGGAGTTGCACCCTCACCTATTTTTGTTGCTTATGAAGTGATCAAAGAGTTGCTGATAAAACGTGTTCAACTCAGCAAGTTTCACAGTTTGCCTCACATTTTGCGGTACAGACATGAACATCTTCTCAGTGACTGGTTCAAACTCAACTGAAACACAAGTGACATAGTTTACAGTTAATTAAAAACAACAGTTGATCAGAGTTTGTAATGCAGAAAATGTAATGAATGACCGTTGTATCATTTGAGATGAATTCACTGATTATGAAGCTAAAAAAGGTCATTAGTACTGTACGAATGTTTAAAAACATTTCATGACCTGTTCTTTTACCCTGATTAACACATTTAAATGAAAAGGGATAAGCTGTTATTCACTAATTTGTAGAGTTAATTTTTAAAAATGAAAATAACTTATTTTAGAAGTCTCAGCACACTATGTCAGAGTGATCAAGCACAGACTTAAGATCACAGCGCCTGGTCCTGTGCCCTTCTACACATTAATTGTGCCATGGGATCTACTTAAGAAGGATGTCCTCCTGATCTCTGGTCCAACACTTCTCCCTCAACTAAGTACCAAAGCGATCACTCAATTTCTGTATGAGGAAACTTGCTATTCTGAAAAATAGTCACTAAAAGAGGTGATAAAGTATTTAACTTGCAGAGCTTCAGTGAAGTTCAAACTGAAGTTCTATTTCACAACAGCCACAAAAGTATTTTCAGCTGGTGGTATGTCAAGATGATGAACTAAAGTTGGATTATTTCACATTTCATGAGCAATACAGTAAATTTTACTAAATTATGGAGTCACAGATGCCACATACTCTGCGAACGTCAGTGTTGAGGCAACTGAAGTAAAACTAAAAAGATGACAACAAAATTCTTGTGTCACCGCCTATATTTTATTTCTGGTTTTTGCTCTGTTATTTTCTGCACCAAACTGCCAAGAATATCCAATACATTTTGCCAACACTCTCCTTTACACTCAGTCCAATCACATACCATTCTGTGACATATTTCTTAATTAGAAGGCGCAGAACTGAAGTCAGGTTTGGCTCGCTAAATTGTGAGAACAAACAAGCCACACTGATCAGGCAGTTGCTGGTCAACACCAGATCTGCAGACCTCTGAAGAGAATTATCTATAGAATCAATTTTACTATGCAGAAGGCAGCAAGCTGACCCACTGTGTGTATACGGGCTCCTAGAAGAGCTATCCAGCTAATCTCATTCACCAGTTGTATCTCTGTAGCCCTCTAAACGAGTTCCAAATTTGGAATCCAGAGCAGAGAGAACAGAAAACCACTTCAGCAGTCTAGTTCTTTATTTAGAAAAGGATATACCGTGTTAGAAGCAGTTCAGAGAAGGTTCACTCAATTCATTCCTGGGATGAGATTATCCTATTATGAAAAATTGGACATGCTGGGTTTGTACCCATTCAAGTTTAGAAGAACAAGAGTGATCTTATTAAAATGTATCAGCCCCTCAGGATCTCGGCAGGGTAAATAGTGGTAGAATTCTCTTCCTTCAAAAGTAGTGAAGGCTCTGTCATTGAATTTATGCAAGGTCAAGTTAAACAGAATTTTGACATAGGATTCTACAGTTATGTGACGGTTAGAAAAGTGGGGTTGCAACCATAACGAAATCAACCATGATTTTATTGAATGGCAATGGGAAGCCTGCAGGGCCTAATTTTATTTTTTCAGTCTTATGCTCCTATAATTGCCATTCACTAACTGCTCTATTGGATTTTGGGAGAAAACTTCAATCAGTCTCAGCTGTGACCTACAAAGAGTCAGGTCAGATTGGAAAGATAGCGTTCAGAAAGCATCTGATTTTCCTTAATTACATTTTGTTGCACACCAACCTTTCACTTGTTGCGATTCTGGAGATCCTGCACAAGGTTCCTGTCAGAAAAAAAAATTGACAAGATCAGTTTTGTTTAATGGAGAAAAAAGTAATCAAAAACAAATGAACTGGAGTCAGAGCTTTAAAACAAAACAGCAGACATACTTGGAAGAGGATCAAACTGCCCACCAAAAAGTGTCCCAAAGTAATTTTTGGACCCACTCAAGATTTAAAAAGGAAAACTTAAAAGACTATCATGTTTCATTTTAACAGTATTTCATTTGGAGAAGTTAGTCTATTGTATTTACATAACTGCTTTCCCCATTGCCACATTTTCACCTGACTATTCTCATTAAGTATTACTGTGTTGCATACCCAGACAGAGGTACGCTTCCAAAAGTTAAATAGCATAACCCATAACAAAGAAACAGGAGTAGGCCATTCAACCCTTTGAACCTGCTCTGCCATTCAATAGAAGCATACTGATCTGATATTCCTCACATCCACTTTCCTTCCACTTCCCTGACTAACACTGCTGTCTCACAGCACTAGGGACCCGGGTTCAATTCCACCCTCGGGAAACTGTGAGGAGTTTGCACACACCCCGTGTGTCTGCGTGGGTTTCTGCTGGGTGTTCCCGTTTCCTCCCACCGTTCCAAGATGTTCAAGTTGGTGTACTGGCCATGCTAAATAACAGGGACGTGTAGTTTAGATGCATTAGCTGTGCGAAATGCAGGGATACGGTGGGGAGGACGGATCCGGGTGGGATGTTTTTCGGAAGGTAGGTGTGGACTTGTTGGGCCAGATGGCCTGCTTCCACACTGTAGGGATTCTATATCATATCTAAATCAGTGCCCTTTTATTCTGAGACTATACCCTCTGGTCCTAGACTCTCCCATGAGGGGAAACATCTCAGCATGTACCCTGTCAAACCCTTAAGAATCCCCGATGTGCTTTGGGGGGGGGGGGGGGGGGGGTAGTCTGAGAGAGAGAGGGGGCTGTTTGTGCACGTGTGCGAGTGTGTTTCTGTGAGAGGGCATGCGTGTGTTTGGGAGTATATAGTGTGGTCACACCTGTAGTGTGACATGAACCCAAGATCACAATTGAGGCTGTGCTCATGGGTACAGAACTTGGCTGTCAGCCTCTGATCAGTGATTTTGCATTGTTGTGCATCTCAAAGTCCACCTTGGAGATGCTTACCCGAAGATCCAAGGCTGAATGTCCTTGACCTCTGAAGTGATCCCCCACTGGGAAGGAACACCCCTGTCCGATGATCGTGGCGCAGTCTCCATTCATCCATTGTCATAACGTCGGCACGGTCTTGCCATTATACCATGCCTCAGGGCATCCTTGCCTGCAGCATACGAGATACACAACAGTGGCTGAGCCACACGAGTGTCTGCTGCGTACGTGGTGGGTGGTGTTCCCACGTGATGGAAGTGTCCATGTCGATGATCTAACATGTTTTGCAGAAGTTGCCATGGCATGGTTGTGTGGTGTTGTGGTCAATGTCGCCCTGAAGGCTGGATAGTTTGCTGCAAAAAGTGGTCTGTTTAAAGTTTGGCAGTTGTTTAAGGTGAGAAGTGGAGGGGTAGGGAAGATCGTGGCAAGGTACTCATAGTCGTCGATAATGTGTTAAAGCCTGCAAAAGACTTCAGGGTCAAGGACATTCGGCCTCAGATCTTTGAGTAAGCATCCTCCAAGGTGGACTTCGAGACACAACATCGCAAAAATCGCTGAGCAGAGGCTGATAGCCAAATTCCATACCCATGAGGACAGCCTCAATCGTGATCTTGGGTTCATGTCGCACTACAGGTGATCCCACCACACTGTATGCGTGGAAGCATACACAAACAAACTTATACAGACCACCCCTCCCCCACGTGTGTTTTCTCTCTCTCTCTCTCACTCTCTCACACACACACACACACACACACACACACTCTCTCTCACAGATACATCTTTGAAACAATTCGTGTATGTGTAATTGCAGATACATTCTGTTTTGCTCAAAAAATTAAAACTTGAACCCCAGTTTAAAACAGAGATTCTAAGCAAGACCTCACACCTAAAATGCATTGTCTGATCGGAGACATCACTTCTTATATACATTGATAAAACATTTAATTACATCGGGACAATGACTTGAAAGGAATCTGGATTTTGCTTTTTAATCAGGAGTCTCCTTCTTAAGCTATTAAAGATTCAATAAGATAGCAGTCAGTTTTAGGGTTGTTACCTTATAAACTCTCTCTGTCACACTAACCTAAGGAAGGGGCTGAGCTCCGAAAACTTGTGTTTTCAGATAAACCGGTAGGACAATCACCTGGTGTCATGTGATTTTTGACTTTGTCCATCCCAGGCCAACACCAGCATCTCCACATCATGATTTTGAAAACTATCACGTCTCCTCTTAGCGTTCTCTCGCCAAAAGGAACAGTCCCAAATTCTCCGGTCTGTCTTCATAACTCTCTTATCCCTGGAATTCATTACCACAGGAAGTAGTTGATGCCAAAACATTGAATGTACTCAAGAGATGGCTAGATATAGCACTTGGGGCGAATGGGATCACAGATTATGGGGAGAAAGCAGGATTAGGATATTGAGTTGGACGATCAACCATGATCGTGATGAATGGCAGAGCAGGCTCAACAGGCCGAATGGCCTCCTCCTGCGTCTATATTCTATTTTCTGTGTAATCATTCACAAACTTCTTCTGCATTCTCTCCAACGCATTCACATCCTTCCAAACATGCAGTGCTTGGAATGGCATACAGTACTTCAGCCAAGGTATAAATAGAACTCTTTATAAGTTCAGCATAACCTGTCTGCCATTGTACTCAAAGCTCCTATTAATAAAGCCTAGAAAACTGTACGTTCTCTCTTCGAACATTGAACTGCATCTGTCACCTGCTCGCCCACTCCAAGTCATCAATGCTCCCAAGTTTCATTTTCCTCTTGCTCGCTAGTTCATGTACACCCAAATCATATAATGGCACAAGTGAATGCAATTTAGAAAGGCACAGTAGTAAAACACAACATACCTCACAAGGACCTGCTCCAGTCAACACCTCAGATTTCAGAACCTTCTGCAAAGCCCATTGCTCACTGTCAGTGAGTGGACAAAACTGGAGAACAAAAATTAGTTGGTTGTAATTGCACCATAAGCTGATGAGCCTACTACAGATGAACAGCAGGGAGTACGTTAAAAAGACATCAGCACCCACAAGAAAATCTCACTAGCAATTAAGAACTCAGTTTCAGTTTAGCTTGCATAAACCAACAGACCAAGATCAATAGAACACAAAAATGCAGGAAGTGCACAGCATACCAAGGCTTTTGTTGGATTGGAGAGGTGGGGGTGGGGGTGGTGGGTTGGAGAGCTGGTCAGCACATGATGCTATTGTGACAATGTCACTGGAGTTATAATCCAACAGCTCAGGCTAATGCTCTGAAACAAGTGTTCAAATACCACCACAGCACTGAGTGGAATTTCATTTTACTTAATAAATCAGGAATTGAAAGTTAGTCTCAGTGATGGTGACCATGACAACTATCATCAATTGTCTTAAAGATCCACTTGTTTAAACCAATGTCCCTTCAGGGAGGAAATCTGTCATATTCACCTGGCCTACGCTGTACATGACTCAGAGCCAAAGCAACATGGTAGACTCTTAACCGCCCTCAAATGGCCAAGTAAACCACTCCGTTCAAGGGAAATTAGCGATCAGCAACAAAATGTTGGCCTTGCCAGTGATGCCCACATGCCATGGAAGAATCAAAGGGAAAAAAGGTAATGGGGGCAGCACGGTGGCTCAGTGGTTAGCACTGCTGCCTCACAGAGACCAGGGTTCAAGTCACCCAAGGGTGGAATGTCTGTGTGGAGTTTGCACGTTAACCCACGCAGACACGGGGAGTTCTCCGGGTGCTCTGGTTTCCTCCCACAATCCAAAAATGTGCAGGTTAGGTGGATTGGCCATGGAAAATTGCCCGTAGTGTTCAGGGATGTGTAGATTAGGTGGGTTATAGGGGGACGGGTCTGGGTGGGATGCTGTGAGGGTCGGTGTGGACTTGTTGGGCCAAAGGGCTTGCTTCCACACTGTACGGATTCTATGATTTATGATCTTAAAGAAATATTTTACGTGGGCCCTTCAGAACAAAATGACAAGACTTCTGTTTGGAGCACTGATGAGGGATCTCTCCCAAATAAAATGAGCTCTGGTAAACCATTCCAGCATCTCAATTTTTGGCTTTAGGTTTCCATCATTCATAGCTTTTGCATCTGTTGTTTTCAACTATAAGAAGCAAAACCAACCATGTTATTCTCTTGGCATTCAGTGAAAACTCCTAATTAAACACTGTTAAGACAACACGAGAATCTCAGTAACATCAGTATTGTTGAGCTTTGAGCGAGCTCAGCTCACTCGCCTACCTCAGCAGTCAGTGAATGAAATGTTTCAGAATTTCACTGAAATGTTTTAAAGTGGTCGCTTTAATGAATGACATCCCCACTGCAGAGCGACAGGATGGAGACCCAACCTTGCAGGAACTGTGGAACAAACCTCCGTTACTTGGCCTTCCCAGAGGTGGGCAAAAAATAAAACTAAAGTGGCATGTGAAAAAGGAGACCAGCCACAAAGAAACAGGCCAAGATTCTTCCTCATAGACGAGGGAAAGGATACTATTTAAAGTATTCCCACTTCCACCCTAACTGAATGCAATAGCAAACACAGGAAAGAGTAATAACTGAACTTGGCTGAAGCCTGTTCTTATCAGTTTTAAAGAACAAACATATCTTGCTCCCTTTGGTGCTTTGAAGCCTTGGTTCCGGCCAACAAGCTCTCCATATTTACAACACTAGGTTTGTACTATGGAAACAAAGGGACCTCATTGGGCACAATCTACCCATGTGAATTTGTTAGTAGCTTTATTATGCTTGAGTACAGCAATGGGTTTATGGGCACCATCCGCTTAAAAACACCACACGCAACTAATTCAAAAATCAACAAATAAGCCAGTGAATAATAGCTTCTCTTTCAGTGCAACATAGCTTAGTTTTAACAAAAAGCAGTGAAGCCGCTTTAAATCTATTAACACAAGGCTCACCTTACAAGACAGTAGTTAAATCGATTTACCTCGAGGTCACTCTGCTCTTGCAGTTTCTGCACTAACTGAAACGTGGTAGCAAGTTGCGAACGGATAAAATCCACAGCCTCTTTTTGTTCACGGGCAATCTGATCTGCCTCCACAGATAATTCACGGTAACGAGATTTTATTACCCTCAACTGCTCCAGCAGTTTTACTGGATTTTCCTAAAGTACATATAGGAAGCATAGTGATCACCGTGGTGTACAGAAACAATGCAGGTCAATATCATTTTGAATCAGCCAGGCCTGCAGTTAGTAGACTAAGTTAACTCTAAAGGGGTTATGCTCCGAGTAGTTCCGGCTGTAAATTGTTACAGCAAGATTTCCTCCAAGAGTAAGGATTTTCCATTGAACTTCCTCACCTGAGAAAATTCTCAGTGGATAATCACAGCTGAAAAGGCAGCAAACAAAAAGAGTAAACTGCCTTTGAATTTGCTGACAAGTCAAGAAACAAGCTAGTTAAATATTTTCAAAATTGTGTACACAGCAGTCACAGCGCCAGGGACCCGGGTTTGATTCCAGTCTTGGGTGATCGTCCATGTGGATCTTGCACATTCTCCCTGTGTCTATGTGGGTTTCTGCCAGGTGCTCCGCTTCCTCCCGCAGTCCAAAGATGTGCAGGTTAAGTGGATTGGCCCTGCTAAACTGCCCATAGTGTCTGGGATGGGCATGTTAGGTGGGTCAGCCATGAGAAACGCAGGGTTATAGGAACATGGTAGGGGGTGGGTTTGGGTGAGATGCTGTTCAGAGGGTCAGTGTGGACTCAATGGGCCGAATGGCCTGCTTGCACATTGTAGGGATTCTATGAGTCTTGGTGGGATGCTCTTTGCAGAGTTGGTGTGGACTTGTTGTGCCAAATGGCCCGTTTCCACACTGTAGGGGCTCTATGAAATGCAAGGTGTTCTCCCCCCTACACCCTACCCTGGCCCCGATCAACGTCCTAATCAGACAATAAACCTTCTGTTGTGCAAGGTTCCTCCAGGGTCCTAAAGGCTTTATGAAGTCCCTGAAGTGCAAATAGCATAGTACAGGCAGAAATGAAAAAAAAAAAGGACAGAGCATGGAGTAGACAACTAACATTAAGCAGGAGAACTTGCAGAATAGTTTTTCAACAATGTAACTGTATAGTTAGAGCCTGGTATACCTCAGAATACTGTATGCTGTAAACTACTCCAAGCCTAAAAGACAATTCTTGACCTTGCCTTCTCCTTAACCAGGATGTCTCGAACCCAAACTCATGGACGTGGGCATAAAACCACACAAAAGACATACCTGTGCCGGTGCGTTGCGAGGAAGATTTTTCACTATTTCAAACTCTAGCTTGTGCTCGATATAATCCAGGTCAAACTCTGCCTTCTGGAACTAAAGTAAGGAAAGTAAATCACTGAAAAAGTACAAGTTAAAAATTTGCTTCTTGGGTAGACTACTTTTATCAGCAAGTAATCATATCAGTGCTCGTTATCTCCACCATCATTCCCTCAGTATTCTAACACTAGACCAGCAAGAGCTCACACACAAATGATCTTCCGCAGCACTAAGAGTCAATCCTTGAACTCCTTCTGACAAAGCAGAATGGGAGGGAAGTCACATAGTTCAGCTTTAAAGCACAAGTTTCAAAATCGTGTTATAGATGCCCCCAAAGATTGTTTATATAGATATTTATTGGAGTGGACGTCAGTGCACATCAAGCAGTCAAACGTCTCTTGAACTGACCCACTCAGGCTAATTTATAAAAGTAATCTGAATGGATTAGGATAAACCAAACTCAAGAATATCCAATGTTTACTAACAAATGCCAAAAATTGTTGTACAAATGGGGACTGGGGTGCAGCGGATGGAAAATGTCAGTTTGAAACTTGCCCCTCCACCCAAGAGCAGAGGGGCATCTTACCAAATAGTCATTGTGGTCCTGTAGTACAGTCTGCTCTCCCTTATTGGAACAGCCAGCACACACTAAAAACAAAACAAACAAGGATGCACAGACTCCAAGCCTCTCATTGAAGGACCTTTCACAAGAGGACTAAATCAGTAATCACAGAACCCCACGCTTCCTTATTTAAAATACATTACTCTACATATGAAATCTGAAAGTGCTGCACGTAAACATCATTTTAATAACGCTTTCACAAAAGCGAGTATTGCGGACATCAGCATGATGGCTGCCCGTGTAACAATTTAAGACACTCCCCTTTCTAATACAAGGCTAAACTCACCACCAGCCTTGGGTAACCGTGATGCACCTGGTCATCCTGCTGCTCTCAGCATTGCTCCTTCCGAGGTGAGGCAGCCGGATCACACTGCATTGCACATGTAGTGACCATTCATTTGTTTATTTGTGCACAGCTGCCCCCTGCATGTCTTTTACAGATCCCAGAAATCAGTGAGCCCCAGAGATTGAAAATGGCTGCTTTGGGGAATTATGACAAGTATTCTTGAAAAAGTGAAACAAAAATTTTCCTTCTTCTGTACGTCAAATGAAAAAAAATGGACTGGGGTGGGGGAAGATACAAATAAAAGGCCACCTCACGGTTTCAAATCATAAAATTGAAGCGTTAAAAATTTACTATTGCCACAGCAATCTCTTAAAAAGAGTAAAAACTGCAACTGGTAACAAACCAGTCTGAAGTTATAGAACCTGTCGTGATTGTTAGCCAAGGTGCAGATGAATTGGGAGTCAGAAGTAAAACTTGTTTGTGCCTGCCAACTGCACATTTCTGCTGTGTTGGAATCTAAGAAGGTAAATAGTCTTGAGGGAATTCACAGAAGCAGGGACATGTAGATCATCTGCCTGCTGTTTCACAAGAGACAAGCTGAGATGCCCCTGGGGGAAAACACACTCAAAACTCAGTGCTGAAACATCTGGTTTTTGGCTTGAAACCCAATTCCCATGTGTGGAATTTAAACTTGAGCTGTGAATTATACACTCCCTCAGGCAAGGCAATAACAAGTACATACCAATTTACCTGCATAAAATTTGTTGCTTCGACAAAATACACACTTCAATATTGCAGCATCCTTTTTCCCAATGGTTCAATAAGTCAGTAACGTATATCACAGGAATTTAATCCCTAGTTTGTGTCCGGTTTGCTGGTTTCAGACAGTGAGGAGCTCAAGTTATATTTAGTCAGAGTAAGGGACACTGTTCCTTCACTATGCAGAGATCCCTTTCTGCAACTGGACAGAAAGCCTTATTTAAATTAAGCCCATCTCACAGGATTGTCTAAACTGCAGTACTATTGTAATGTGGAAAACAGTTGAACCAACTGACACAGCAGTATCACCCCAATTCATCCAAAAGTCCTGTTGATTCGGATATTATTTCCTTAAGTCACCTTCTGACACTAAGTGGGACAGGATCTAGTCGAAGTTTTCAGAATGCTTTAAAAAACAACTTCTGTACCCACTTAATCAAGAAAAACTTGCTATTTAACAAGCTACAGGAGTATAATATTTCAGTATGGTCCTTTTTCTGCCTGCACACATTACCAATTGTTTATTCATTAATTTATTCATTAAAAAGAATACACAGTTTCCCTTTAGACAGGATATAAAGAAATTCTTTAAAATGGAAGTGCTTAAAAAAAAAGACTGGTCTCATTAAGTAAAGGACTATTTTCCATTTACAAGAGTAACTACTAAAGACATTGTGATAATATTAAATGTTTGAAAGACTTACAGTCCTGAAGGCAGTTATATAGTTTGCAATATTCACTTCACATTACTAGTTTTTAGAAAGTGAGTTGCACTCTATAATGGTCCTTGGACCAGAGATTGCCACAACTCTCTTTATATTTTGAAATTTCTAAACTAAAATCCAGTCATACCAAATAAAAGGCATGAATAGGGAGTATTTTGAAATTAAAACTGCAGCCTGTTAAGCAAGTGCTTGGGGCAGCCAATGAAGGCATCCAAGGATGAAATTAAAACTATCCTCTCCTTACAACTGAGATTTCTCTCCCTTCCGGAGAGGGACAGGACACAACGAAATGCATTTGTCTAAACCATCTACCAGGAAGCTGTGGGTTATGGGGTAACGCAGGTTAATTTCAAGCAGAGTTTTGCATGTTCATAGTAGTCACTTTTGTTCTGACGATGCTAGGCTTTTCATGGAAATCATCATTCCAGGACTCAATGAGAGATTTGATGCTAGAAGCATATGCAGTCAACCTATACATTTCTAATAAATTAACCTCTTCCACCCAAAAATGTCAGCAATGTGCACTTTTATACATCCAAGCATACTGACCTTTTTACTGCCTCAGGGTTCTGTGCCTGCAATTTAGCAAGAATTGTAAGAAAAAGATCACAATCATCAGCAAGCAGGGAATTTTGAAGTAGACCCAGTTTTACAAACATTTCTCTTATATTACCCAAGTAAAGATACAAGAAAATTACATCCATACTTTAAGCAAGCCAGCTACTGCATTCTGGATTCCACAAACTTCTGCTTCAAATCATATCATGCTTCAAGACCACAGCATATGATCTGCTCTAACATTTTAATGCAATTCTGGTAGAGTTCTCCTTTACCAAGAGACACCAACTTTAGAATGACAGGTTAGCCAGAGACAGTCTAACCTCCACGACGTAAATAAAAGATCCCATGCCATTATTTGAACAATAGTCTCCCAATGCTGAAACAAATATTCACCCCTCAAGGAACATCTCCAAACAAAAAACTACCTGGATTATTTAAAGTCTGTCTGGTCATTCATTCATCTCATTGTTATTTGTGGAATCTCGGAAAAATGGGTGCCATGTTCATCTCCAAAACAAAGACTGTTCGATTAACCCAGATCACATACTTAGGTCCTGCAGTGGGTCTTGAACTCTCAACCTTCTGACCCCAAAGAAAGAGAGAGCAACCAATGGGCCAATGTGAAACCTGCATCCGTTTTCTTAATGCAAAGGGCACGCCTTCCTCATGCCATATGTCAAAGACAGTGAAGTGCAGATCAATGCCAGAAAATGTTTCTAAAAGGTAATTCATTGGCTGTGAAGTGTTTTGGGATATCTGAGAATGGGAAAAGCTCTGTGCTATAGAACAAAATAAAAAGGACTTGGGGAAAAAAAAA